AAAAAAAAAAAATAATAAAGGAGAAAATTCCAAAAATGCACTAAACTTTCAACCACTGAAAAAATCTAAAGAAAAGTTCCGCTTGAATATTTAAGAAATGTCACAAAATACCTCTTACAGAAATAACAAGAATTATAATTTATATAAAAAGTGCAAATACATATATCTCTCAACTCTTCTGGAAGAGCTCTTCTATAGGACTTCGCTTGGCGTTTCTTTAAGTGTAACCCTTTTGAAGAAGCAACAGCAGCAAAAAATGAGCAGTGACCGCTGCCTGGGGGAAAGAGTGGGTGCTTGAAGGGTTTGAACCTTTTGTGCATTGGCCGCAGAAAATGCATCATCAATATGGCAGCAATGGCTCTACTCATGCTCCTGGTTCTGCTGCCCACTACTGGTCCCGGTCCATATGTGAATGACGGACGCCTTCGGGCAGAAGGAATTGCCATGGAGGAGTTATCCGCACGCATAATGCTGTGCCCCTCTTTTCTTTGCTTTGTCTGCGTTTGCATTTGCCGGAGGGGGCGTGGCAACGCCCAAAACGCCTCCGGGGACTCTTCACTCTTCGTTCTCGTCGCTTGCCACATGATTTTCAGCACCGAGTCCTCAGGGCTGCATCGTGCTTAGTCAGTCAATGACAAAGGACCTTCCACGCTGCGCATCCTTTGGCACAAGTTATTGGCGTTGATATTTTACGATTCTTGTCTACAAGTCATCGGCGAAATGGTCCGTCTACTGCAATGGATGTTGTTTGTGGGAAGGATATTCTTGGGTTAGCAGTTGGTCATAAAAAATGATAACCACTTATGGCAGGGGAAATACGATTTGCGAGAGATGAAATTATTTAGATATTTATATATTTATCTTTTGAATAAATCGAGAATTGAATTTAAAGGGAACTCGGTATTGGTTTTTTTTTTATTTAGTTATTTATTTATGTTGTTTAGTTTCAGTTGTACATTTTCAGTTGTTCATTTTCAGTTGTTCATTATTAATTGTTCATTTTCAGTTGTTCATTTTTAGCTGTTCATTTTTAGTAGTTCATTTTTCGGTGTTTATTCTCAGCTATTACGGTATTTTTGGTGTTTATTTATTTATTTGGTATTTATTTTTAAGTTGTTTATTTTTTATGTTTTCTTGATCATTTTATAGTTATTCACTTCGATTTTTTACCATTTACTGCACTTAATTCAGTTACTGGGATTCATTTATTACCCCTTTTCAGTATTTGCATTGTTAATTAAAAAAATAAAAACCAAATAGACTTGCATCAACGGCAGTTCCCCAACTGCACTCAAACAAAAACCTCTAGTTTTGACCTCTGCAAATTAAAAGCAAAAACAAACAGTGCACAAAAAGAGCAGCAGCAGGGAGGACAAAGAACAATAATAATAATAAGAAGGCAAACAAAAACAAACAGGCCAAAAGGCAAACTTTCGGCCAAATCCTTACAAATGTTTATCTTTTCTTAATCCCGCACTTAACTGTTAGAGACGACCAGCATTGGCTAAGGCCATCCAAGTTCTATAGGAAAAAGGGGAAGAAATGGGGGTTTATTTTGGAGAAATGTGCATGAAGCTGGCAAATTGCTTAACGCTTCACAGCTTTCCCCCCTTTGAACACTCCTTTTCTGCTATTTTCTTAACACAGTTGTAAAAACTTTTTGCGCTAAAAATTTGTGCTTTCCAAAATCCAAAGAATTTTTAGTGAAGCGATGGTAATGGCGGCGGCTGGCGAGGAGTTTTTCTTGAAAGAGTTTTACTAGAATTTTTGCAACGACAAGTTTCGCAACTATTGGGCGATGTGGGGTGCCGGGCTGTGTAATGACCATTTTTGCGTTGAGCTTCATTTGCACATCGACCACAAATGTCGAGAAAGTTGTGAACTTCTCATTTATCTATTGCACTCTCAGAGTTTCCTTACACAAAGTCCCGCCATCATAACGTTAAATCTGTCGCCATAATTCTTCTTCCCATCTTAAATAATTCTGTTCTGCTGTTTTTTTCTTCGAGTTTTAAAAGTTTTTCCTTCCAGCTGTTTAATTGTTTTATATTTATACTTCGTAGGTTAAGAGAGAGCTGGGGTATATTGTATTGGCGGAAATTTGTGGTGTGGGGAAATGTAGAGGTAGAAAAGGAGTGTTTGTCTAAAGAAGGAATTTTGTGGTGTGGGGAAATGTAGAGGTAGAAAAGGAGTGTTTGTCTAAAGAAGGTATAGCAGCCAAAACCTATAGCTGCTATAAAAATGATCGCTAAAATTATATAACAACCTAGGAAAATTAGCAACAATTTCGGGGTTTTAAGCAAAAGGTTCTCAATAATTAAATTGCTAATAGTTTACTTAACTGTTTAATAGATAATATCTCTTTTTCTACTCTAATCTAACAAATATGTTTGCAACACCAAAGCAAACGAAACACTTGCAATTGTCGCAACTTTTCACTCTTCTGGCATTTGTTTTTCTAGTATTCCCTAGCTTATTTATCTTGGCTGTGGATTGAAATTGTGGGTGTGGAGCAGTTGGCTCCTGGAAGACGTTCTCCCAGCGCGTCTTAATCTTTTGTTGATGCTTGTTTATTCTGCAATTACTTAGGCGTACTGTTTGCGTCGTCTGCACTGCGGCTGCGACGTCTTCAGCTCTTCATTGCCTCCATTTACTTCCTTGTCTCGCCGTAAGCCACCCCTTACCCCTAGTTCTATCCAGTGACCGGCTGTTTTTTATAAACACTGAGCAAAAAATGGGGTAAAATAAGAATTGGTAAGGGTTAAGGGTTGAGAGGTTAAGAAGATTTATAAATCTGTAAAAAAATTTATTATGTTTATGAATTAATTGCAATTTTTAAAATAAACTAAGATGTTTTTATTTGAAATAAATATGTATTTTCAAAGAAAATTCTTTTACATTATTAAACAAAGTAAACCGATCATAAAATACTCGGCCATAAGTTAGTACAAAAAGCATTGCCTACTTTTAAGCAGTTTTGGTACTACGAGCCTAATTGGTAAACCCTAAGACTATATTATGTATCCGATTAGTATAAAATTCGGTATTTGCTAAAAATAATAAATTCCATATAATTGTATAATTTTTTTTCTCCATGCATACCTTATTCTAGACACTCGCTGCGTTTTAAGTGCTCCAGTGCGTTTAGGTTTGTTTGCTCTTTTCTCAGTCTGCCTCAGTCTTTATTTCTTTGCTGTCTTTTTTCGCAGCTTAGGCGCGACTCTCCTCGTCCTTGTACGTTGTTGTTGTTTTTGGCTTGGTAAAGTTGTTTGCCTAATTTCATGCTTTGCTTGCTCCCAAAAGGTGTCGTCCGTGTATAAGTGATGCCCTGCGTCCTGATTTGTTGAGAGTAATTTGCATAGGACTTTAGGAAGAACAGGAAGAAAGGCCATAAGCGGGGCTTAAGAATATTTGGAACGCTACTGGGGTTCTATAGATAAAGTGATAAGTTCTGTGAAGTTATAGAATTCTGTTTAGAGATAGTTAGGTGCTAGAAATGACTTAGTAAATTTTATAAATTAAAAAGAAATTTAATGAAAAAATGCAATATTTTGACTTCTTCCAGTTAAATCTTTTATATATAATCAAGATATTACAAAGAAAGTATTTCTCAAGCTTCCTTTCACATAAAAGTCACAATTAAATGCTCATTTATCAAGCAATTGATCATGATAATGACTATGGGGTGGTACTGATGTGGCTGTGCAGAAATAATTTCCCGAGAAATTTTCCGCCCCCAAAAAGGGTGCATTGGGAAAATGGGATAATCGAGGGCGGCACACTCAAAACTATTTGCCAAAGCTTTAATCGGAAACGGAAACAGGCTGTGACAGTTAGGCAGGCAGTCAGCCAGTTGACAATCGATCGATGGATGAGGTTACAAGGGGAAAATCCAAGGGAGAGCATGCAGGGGGGGCACAATCAAAGCGGAAGTCATTTTCGTACGTTAATTGACAACAAGCAAGGGGCGAGGGCGGGCAGGGTACAAGGACTATAAAAGACCAGGACAGAGTGCAACCCATATAGACGTCGATGGTGTCGCCGACTGTCTCTCCTTGTCTATCAATCAGTCGACCAACTTTCAGTCAACCATAAACCCACCATCCCACTTTCGGTTCGGTATTTGTTATGGCGAATAGTTTCAGCATTGTTCCAAAGGCTTTTCTCCTTTCATTTTGTTTTAAATGGAAGGCTTAATGACGAGTAAATTTGGAAGGGGATTGAGGTATAACCTCAGGACTGGCGCCTCCTCAAACTGCTGTGGGTGTAATGATTGTTACCGATTTTCGGGATTTGTGGTCCTTTGCTTGATTGAAGTTTTGCGGGAATCGGCGAAATGGAGCAAAACATTTGATGTGGTTCTCGAAAGATGATTTGTGGAAAAGGGGAGAAAACCAGCCACGAAATTGAATAAAGTTGTAAGCGGCAATGAAGAGAGAATAACGTCAGTTCCTTGAATAAGCATAAATTTGATGTGCATTTAATTCTGAAATAAGTGCTTTTCCTTGTAACATATTTCCTGAAAATGCTTATTATTTTTTCTCATTAATTAAACATTCAACAAAATTTCTATGAATGCATGCATGTCTCTTCGCCTTTCACTCTATTATATGATAGAGACCCCCTTTCTTGTTTTTGTTTGGTATTCAGTTGCTTTTTAAAACACACAACGAAAAAAACAGGGGATCCTATGCGACGTAAACTGAGAACGACAAGCCGTAAACGAGCTCAGCGAATAAATAGCAACTGGAGGCTATTTTTGTTTTAGTTCTCACTGCAGCTCCATTCTTTTATTTCACACAAAACAAAAATAAATTGAAGTAAATCTACAAAAAGTATTAAAATAAAATTTAAATAAAATAACTAAGATATAGGAATAAGATTGATTATTATTAATCAATTTATTAAATAAATAAACAATAATATGTTTAATATTTAAATGTATTCTTAACATTCTTTCTGTGTATCCATTTCGATTTTGATGTGCCCTTTTGTCCAAGTGTGGCTGTGCCGAATCCGTCAGCATTTTGTTGCAATCACCGAGGGGCATTTGGGGAGAAGGAACGTGACATATCAAACACTGCAACCAAACCGAAGCGAAGTCATCGTCATCCTCATCGACGTCATCGCCATCATCAGCGCATCCTACGGTCATCAATGCAGCTGATGGTAGCTGAGATGACGGCTCAGGGTCTAGGATGTAGAACAGAGAAGATACCCCATGCATGAGGGTTCGTTCTAGGAGTAACACGAATATTATATATAAGTTGTTAAATTTAATAAGTAATTTCAAACTTGGTAAACTTTTAAGATGGAAAACAAAATTTCCTTTTGTAGGAAACAGAAAACTGTAATAAAATATCTGTAGATTAAAGATATCAGAAAAAATAAAAATATATATTTTTTTTTATTGTAATTAAACATATATTTATATTCTTGTACAAGAAAGTCTCATAAACAAGGTATATATATTTTATAAATTTATAAAACTTAAGGGCATTTCAAGTTCGCCTATCCTGTCACTTCTTGGTGTTGATTTTAGTGCTGCTGTTCAACACAATTGAATCCCCATCCAGCGATGTCCCGGTTCAGTTTCAGTTGCTGTGCTGATGAAGCTGACATAAAACAATGCAATGGACGATTTTTCCGAATGTGCTTCCCAAATGAATGATTCTGGTGGATGTCTGTTTTATTTTTATTTGAAATTTCCCTCAAACTTCGTTTTTATTTTGTTAAATCAAACTGACAGCCAACCATTTCCATTGGCACAACCCTTTCAACCCTTGAAATCAGTGAAATTTCAACTAATTTGACGTATTTTATTCCAGAGGCTTAATCAGTCAGTCTTTGTTAGCTGAAATAAATCCTATTTTCTATTTTCTCTCCTATTTCCATCCATTTAGATAATACATTTATTATTTTTTCAACTTGTTGGAATTTTAAATATTTGCCAGGAATTTTTTTAAAGCTGAGAGTATGGGTAGTCACTTGATTATTGCTATTTAAATACAAAATTAGGCTGGATTTTTTGTTACATTTTCTATATTCAACGGATAAATTAGTTGGATTTATTGCCAAGGCTTTTTTTTTCTAACTAACCCAGTTCTCTACTATTTTTGGGCTACAATTAAAGCTAAACTCCTTGATGAATAAAGCTCAGGCTACACAGTTTTAGCATTTTATTGCTGCTTCGCAAAAATATACATTAGTCTTAAATTTATATGTTAATTACATGCCATTTGTCCGAATATTTGTGTGGGCTTCAGAACAAGGAACTGAACTGAATTGAAATGCCTGCTGTTGTGGCTTTTGTTAATTATTTTTTCCCACACACACACACACCCGTCTTTGCTGATATTGGTTTTCTTGTAATTATTCTTTATTAAATTTGCTTGGGAGGAGAAGAAAAATAATTAAAAGTGTAGCCAACGTTGGTTTCGTGGGACTTTATTTATGATTATTGGCAGGCCGAGCTGAATTAATTGAGTAATTCGCATGGCCTTGTGCTTTTTTGCTTAATATGTGTTTATCATTATATCCCTGGCTTTTTCCCTAGTACAAATTGCACCACATTTATAACACTTTCCGTCCTATCCCAAAGTTAATAGCACTCCAGTCAATCTTTGTTTAATCAAATGGTGGATCGACTTGGGCTCCATTGTGGTGCTGATGGTGGTTGCTCTCCTTGGTATTGGTGGCCATTAGTTGCTATTATTATCCTCATTACACTAAATGATGGCTAATTTCTTCTTGCAACACTCTAAAATGGCTCAGGCTCTGGGTGTTTGGCAAATTGCAGGTCATTAGATTCGAATAGAGCCCAATACTAGCACCTAACATCCTTCTATTAACCACAAGAAGAGGGTTTCCTATGGGGTAAATGAAGGCATTAAGTTATTGTGTGCCCAATTTATTGATTTGTTGGTGGTGGGAAAAGGTTATTTAAGGATATAAGAAGTGTTAGTTAGCTAGAATTTTGATATTGGTTTATCAGATCTTGACTCTGAGAAATGTATTTATTTGTTTAACTATTAAATAACTATTTTAATTTTATCCTGCTATCCTGCATATCCTGCTATAATAGATAAACTCCATTCCCACAGCTTGTAATTCAATAAAGGTTTAACAATCCCAAAAATCATGTTCACCTTTATCCCCTTGTATTTATAGGCAAACAAAGAAGTAAACTACTTAAGCTTCCTCAACCTAAACGAGGCTAGAAAGTAAAAGTAATGCAATTTTCGTCATTGAAAGGTGTTAGCCGACACACGTGCTTCTTGGCTTGGCCTGTCATTCATGCTACTCGTGTAGCAGACATTTTCCAAATGATTATCTTTTTCTTTCTATTAATCCCAGACCAGTCAAAGAGAGAGAGGGAGAGAGAAAAATAGAGGGAAGTCAGGAAAAATTCCTCCGTGCGTGACAAATTTCGATAAAAAGGCGTTGACCAATGATGGGTATGGGTTGAAATCGAAGCGAACTCCGTTTCTTAACCCCTCTCGCCGCTGGCCATTTAACACTTCGTTAAACTCGAGCAGCTGCGGAAAAAAACCCCTGCTTGGTGGAGAAATGAGAATCCTCGTGTCCAGGAGCAATGTCCCCCACGGGCAACCCCCATAAATATTTCACACTCGCACACAACGCATGCAATAAAATGCAACGAATTACATAGTTGAAAATGTAAACACAGGCAAAGGGTTAAGGGAAACGCAAAAGTATCAGTGGTAGTAATGGTAGAAGCGGAAGCGAAGACAATGGTGGCAATAGCAGTACAGTCAAGACTATCTAGGATGGATCTGGGTTTTATATTATCATATTTTTAAAGTAAAATATAGGCTATATATAATTTTAAATGCTTAACATGCTAGAAACGGCTTATAAATAATTTAAAAAATGTATAATTATAATCCTGAAAAGCATTTATGTCCGTCCAAAAATAGGATTCGACATTATTTAAGACTGATTAATCAGCCAATTAAGACCAAATATCTGTTAAAAATCTTTAGATACTTTCAAGTCAATGACTTTTAAAGACATTTTCCAAATTTTTCTTACTGTTGCAAAATTACTATACAAATTATCTTTAAGAAATATATAGAAAATCCTTTTAATACATATATTTTATATGCTATTTCGACTGTTAGAGCTATATTCTTCAGCGTCGACAGCGCTGCAGCAGCTTAGGAGCAGCAATAAAAGTCAATAATGTGTGTTTCGCTAAAACAGAAGCAGCAGCAAAAGGAGCAGCAGTAGCTGCTACATCGGGAAAAAAAGGACCTGGCCAGACGCGGAATACTCACATTTTGCTGTTACGTGAGCTAATACAGTTGCGTATTGTATTGGTCAGACACTGGCAGGAGATGGGGAGGATATCCTCGCTTTCGCTATTAAATTTCATAGCCCTTGCTTGTTGCGAATTTACGGCTGTTAAAGTTTTAAGTAGCCAATTGAACTGGAAATTGTGGGTGTGCGGGGAGGTTGTTCCTCCGAGGTCTGCGTCTGGGGTCAGAGGTAAATACTACCTGGTGGTCACGTGCCCCATGTCCTGTAAATCGATTTCGTTCTTATGTTTCTCAGGCAAAGTATCAATGAATGAACTTCCATTAGGAAGTCCTAAAAGATGTTTAGCTCAATGGGATGGCAAAAAAAGAAAATTAAAAAAAGCAAACGATTTAAACTGCAAATAGGAAATATATTCAATGGTTGAGCATTTCCTAATTGAAGGTTTCCTAATGGAATTGCCTATAAATTGTTTAATGGAACATGTGTTTAACTGTAAAACTGTCTTCGGTGGAATAAATCTCTATTGAAAATATAGAGACAACTGAAGATGTGAATAATTAAGAAAGATAAAGGTAGGACTCGTGTTTAAGGGAAAGAAATTAATATATAAAAACGATTTTTCAATGAAAACGAAAAGGGTCCTAAGGGGTCTATCCTTATAGTGATCATCTCATTTATGTACAAACTTTGGTTTGAGACTCAACTAACCTTATGGGATTGAAGATAAGACACGATCAGGTTGATTAACATTTTTGTAGTCCTAATTTAAGTTTTTCTTTATTTTAATCTGATCATAATATGTGTAGGATCAGAATATTGTCACATATTCTGGAGCTCTACCTCAGATCAGATTTCAAGTCCTCATAAGATATCACATCGCACTTTGTCGGCAAACATCCCTTGCCTTAGATTTTCCTTTTGCTCAGTTGCATTGATCTCTGCTCGTTATCTCCGTTTTTCTTTTTCGAATTTGAATGCCAAACTGATTGGGAACGATTCGAAGTGGTGTCTTATCAATTTTCGAAAATAGCTGCAGCGCGGGAGCTGCTCTCTTTTTTCCGATTCGAGTTCTCTGTGTGACGATCGCCGCCTCTTAATTCGATCACACGAGCATTATCACTGCCGATCCGTTCGGTTGTTGTTAGCTCGAAAGTAATTTTGATTTAATTTTTGTTGTCTGTTTTTTTTTTTTTTTTGTCTTTAGTTTGTCAGAGTCTGTTGTCTTGATAACGTTGCTGATCGTCTCTAATTTGCTAAATTTATTTAATTCGACTTTTTTCTGTGTGTTTCGTCTTGGCGTTTTCGTTTTGTGCGTGTAAAAATTTAAATTCCATAATAGTTATTGCTAAAAATTTCGAAAGAAGTGCTTTAATTGTCGTGAAAAAGCTGCGAATAAATATAAAAAAGTATTGTACGCTTATGTCATTACGTCTCGTAGCGTAACGTAACGTCTCACGTAAAACGTATATAAATCAAGTGCCTGTTTCTGCTTTCTTTGTGGGTTTTGTGGTCTCTCTCTTTATCCAAAAGAGTATATATATATTGTATACTTCTTGAGATATATCCAAGCTATCATTAACAAAAATCTGTGTGTGTCCTATATACCATATGAGTCTTATGTGAGTACGGAGTATCCCTAGTTTTAAGCCTTTAAGTTGTTTCTGTTGCTACACTGTTGTTTACCTCTCGTTTTGGTCGAATTTCGATTTATTTATTGCCAAACGTACTCAACTCTAACCTCATTTAACTGTGTGTGTTGTCTCATTATAAACCACATGGGTTTTTACTCGGCTCTATAAATCAGTGAATATATATGTATATAAGTTTATGTGCTTCTATATATGCAATAAATCTTTGTTGCTTGGGTTATCGGTTTTTTGCCTATTTATTGTTGTTGTTGTTGTTGTGAATGCTGTGGTTTTTATTTGCTGTCGATGTGTCAATAAAGGTTTCCTTGTCCTCAACATTGTTTATACTTTTTTTTTCCGTTGGTATTATAATTGATTAAAATGCTATTATTTGCATATCAGTTTTTTCTCCCCCCAAGAGAGACGCAGATTAATTTAACAAGTTTTTTATTATGTTTTATTGATAGCTCTTTATTAAATAGTTTTTTTTTTTCGCTGGGGAGTTGTTGTATTTCAATATTTTATTGATGACATAAAAAAACAAGTTACAATAAAGGTCAAATTTGTAGTTAAGAATTGTGGAAATATTTTAATTTTGTCTCATTTTAAAAATATGTAAAAATTTAGAAAGCAAATTAAACAAAAAAATCATTTTTCAATTTCAATTTCCTTTAAAATTAGCTTGAAACTTTTATTTAATAGCAATTCCAGTTCTATTTTAGAACTCCCTTCGAATTTTGCACATTCATTTTGGTTATATAGTATCTCCCCTATATATATTCCCCCTTAATATATGGAAATCCCCCAACAAATCAATTGACAAATCCCGGAACTTGGAGCCATTCAATTAGCCGTAATTAGACGGAAGTTGCTGGGCTCCGCCATTGAGCATCACTTGTTGCATGAATAATGGCTGCCAATAATAATGCCGTTAACAAGGAAGGAAGGAAGGGGTCTGTATCAGAGGGGGAAAGTAAGGGTTCTTGTGGTAAGGACTCGTACCACAGCAGCAGCAGTTTTGTTTGCTTTGACAAATACAAGTTGCCTCCTGGAGCCATAATAATAATATTATTTATGGTCCTCTCGAGGGTATGTCGATGGGAAACGATAGAACTGGCTGACAATTTATAGATATTTCATTATTATGGTAACAAGAAGAAGGAGGATGAGAAACTTGGTCTTCTCTAAAGGAGCATATAAATTGCAACGATGGAAAAAACAAAAAAAAGAAGCTTAAAGATTTTTCTCCCTTTGCGCTTGTTAGCGACATTTTTTAGATGGAGTTTCTTCTGCGGGGTTCTTGTGAATTTGTTATTGTTTTTAGTATGATTTTCTCGTTTTTTGTTGTTGTTACTGTGTGTGTGTCTTAGTTGCTCTTATTCTTGAACGCATGTCGAGCATGTAAAGCTTCTTGTTTACGCTTTTCGAATTCTTTTCCTCCAGCTTTTAACATATGTTTCACTTGTGTTCAAAGACACTTGTTTGTTATTTACCAAAAGCAGCAGCAGCAACTCTGACAAAACAAATTTAAATTGATGATTATGCTTTGGAAACAAATGAAGAATTCATTGATATGAAGCTTATTTCTTTTAGTTGTTAGAAGTTTGCCTACATTTTTAACACTTTTTAGATGCACATTTATTTTTGGGAGTTTGTAAATCCGTTTTTGAGCCTTAGGTTGAGTTAACAGGTGAGTAAACTTGAGCCTATGGGAAATCTTTCCTGTGCCAAAGGTTTCACTTCAACCTAATTAAATATATTCATTTAAATTAAGAATTCGCTGAAAGCATACAGAAATAGCTAAGGCAAATGCCATTGGGTTAGGCTGCTATTTAAATGGGAGATTTCACTTTAGGAAAAACAAAATTTGTGAAAAAACAATATTCCAAGTGAGTTTGCTTTAAAAGTTGGTTTTATGATGCTGATTAAGTTTTTCCTTAAGTCAAAAAATGTATTTCAAATATTTATATCTAAGATTAAAAAAATTGGTGAACAATTTATTTAATATTTTTTTAAGTTTTGGTTTGGATTTGCATTTTATTTGAAAATTTTTCTAAAGAATTTTTAGTCCTTTAACCACTGAGCCATTTAAAAATACTATTGCTTATAAAATTTAACAATTCTAATTATATATATAAAAAAAAACAAAAGATTTTTAGTAAAAGAGTTGGAAAAAAAAAGAAAAATATTGATAGTTATCGATTTTAAATCGTTTCTTTTTAAATAAATAATGAAAAATATTTTTATTCTTAAAAAAAAATCTTAATCCTTAATTTACTTACCTACTTATTTATCAGTTTCCTATAATGGCACTGAAAACAACAATCATTCCAAATCTCTTTCCTTGTTTTGTCATTTTTATATCCTTGACAATTATTTTAGCGCAGAAAAACTTTCTAAATGCAGCGCAGCATGGGATCCCTTGTAAAATAATTGCCTAGCCTGGAAAAGGACTCGACAAAAACCACTTTATTCAAGCCAAAGTCAACTTATTCTCCTCTCCCCACCATCCTGAACACTCAACACTCACTTATTATTAAGTTGTTTTCAAAACTAGCAAGAGGAAAAACAAGAAAGATGGCGTGGCGGAGTTGGAGGTGGAGGTGGCTTCCGGCAAAAGTTAAATTATAAAATCGTCAAAAGTTGACGAAGACATTTTGCGCCTATGCAAACACACACACATACATATACACGCAGTGGAAAATTCTCGACCAAAAAATAAGTAAGGGGAAAATGTGGAGAAAATCGGTGGGAACGGAGGATGGAGCCACTTAAGATGCTTAGCGCCATGGCAAGCGAAAATAATGACGCTCATAAAAACTAACTAAACACAAAAATAAAGCAAATACATAGGCGACAGCAGGCGGTGTGAGGTTGGGGGGTTGCGGGGTGTTTTTAAGCTGGAACGCTCCCTGAATGACAACGATAATGATGTGCGATAATGTTTGTTGTTATTTCGTTTGCTTTTGTTTATGGTGCTTCTTCATCTCAAGAATGCTGCAAAATGATGATGATTATAATGCTGATGAAGATGTTATTGTTTTTTGTTGTTTGTTGGTGTTGTTGTGCAACTAAGACAACTGTCAAAGTCCTTGCCAAAAGGATTAGTCGGAGCTGCTGCCTTTCGCCGTCACTATACCCATTAGTTTTGGAAATTAATGAGTTGTACTGTTTTTGATAGAATTTAGTGATCTCAATGGGTTGAGATTAGAAAATATTTTTAACTTAGCCAACAAACCTAACTTGCTGACAGATTTCGGCTCAATACTTGAGGTTTTACTATTGAAGTTTGTCTCTAAATTCGTACTTGAGAATTATTTGGTGTTCATTGCAAGACGTTGCTGCACTATGTACAGTACATATCAAGTGGAACTTGCGACACCAAGCACGTGCTTGTTCTGTTAGTAATTAGTAAAACGCGAAGGACTTAAAAAAAAAAAAAAAAAAAAGGATGCGGGGAGACTACTACTGGCGTACTGCCGGATTGGTTGCTTGCATGCGTAAGTAGGTTAAGATTGAAGTTTTTAGTTTTGGGAGGCTATCAACGTTAGATATTATTGTGTACAAATCGTTATAATTTGCACAGAGGACTCTAAAGGGTTCATGCAGTTCAAAGGATGTTCTACAGTGGGGCAAAACTAATGGTAAAAAGGATCTAGTGTTTCTTATTGGTACGTGAAAATTTAGCTGACCGAGCAAGTCAGTACTTTCCACGTCACCACGGATTAAGTTGTATATGAATGTAATACCTAGCATGGTTCTACGATCAGATAAGGGGGGTAAGTTAATTAGTAAGAGTCTACTAGAATAAGACGGTAACCTCTGGTTTGCATCCCAGTTTAAACCGCGTAAAGCGAAAAGTAAGAAGTTCTTTTGAACCGATTCTATGCGTTTACTATGGACGCCATACTGAGGGCTCCAAACGCAGGATCCATATTCTAAGATAGGACGAACAAGTGAAGTATATAACGTTTTTGTGACATAGGGGTCATTGAATTCCTTAGACCACCGTTTAATGAAACCAAGCACGCCCCTGGCGTGCAAAAAGTAACGCTATATAATTATAAAATTTTTTTTAATTGTTTGTTTGTAAATCAACAACTACAGCTAATTCAAACAATACATTTTGCAACTAATCATTTATAAAAATAGTTTTGAATTTAAAAATCATTTAATAAAATAGTCATGAAGCTGATGATAGGGTATCTCACAGTCCAAACCCACTCGTTTAACATCCAAACTGACTTTCCTTGAGCCTTTCCATTGGTCTTGTCTTGCTCTTATCACAGTCGTAATTAAAATTGCAGCAGACGTAGTGAAGTTTTCTACTTTCTTACCGACAACACCACCCCCGACTCTCTTTGAATTTCGATTCCCTCCCGGCTTACCCATTCTATTTAATCGCTTCAACTGCCTGCCGTAATTTATTTATTGCCGAAAATCGTCCCTATTTCTGATTTCTCTCCTTTCTCCTCGGTTGTTGTATTTTTTAATTGATTAGAAACGTGAGTTTTGTTTTGTTCTTCTTGTGCACGCCTTCATTTGGCATCGAGCCAGATAATTTTCAGTCTCATTGAATTTTCTTCTAGGTTTTCTTTCCCTCGAGCACTGAGTTTTTTTTATTCTTTTTTATTTTGGCAATTTTAGCAAATGACTCTCTTGGCAGAACTTTTAAATTGGTTGATTCATTTAGTTTTAATGTCAAAGGTAGGGTTTCTTGAACAACGAAAATTGCGTGGGAGATGACTCAAGTTTGGTTGGTACAACTTTATTTATTATTTGCAAAAGCTTATAGATGGGAAAAATGAGGTTCTAATTAATTAATTTAATTTATAAATGCCAAAATAAAATTTTCGAAAAAATTTTGATCGCAGTTTGCTCTGCTTCGTATTTCACAGAGTGTCAAAGGGATGAATATTTGAAATTATTTTTAATCTAGTTGTATCGTTTCCAAATCAGACTGTGTAGCGTACATATTATTTTAAAAAAGTTCAACAATTTTCGGCTTTTAGGTGGCGAAATTCTCAATGTGTTAACTTTTCGGCAGTACCGCGTCTCGTTCCATCCCTTCCATAAACAAAAAGAAAACCCTACAAAAAAATTATATTCACGTATAAGAAAGCCCAGTGCTGTGCTTTCGTTTACAAATCTATAAGTGGAAAATATTTTAAATTTCTGCAGCAAGTGAAAAGGTGAGTGCAAGAAAGTAGCTCAAGTGTTTTTTTCGGGGACACCAAGCGGAGATTGTAGTACCAAGTCTATGATGGAGAGAATAGCGGAGTGTGGTACCTTCTGTGGGTTGTTTGGGCCTCCGACTGCATGCCTGCCTGTCTGCCTTCCTGGCTGACTGACCTGACCGGCTTTCGAGCCTCTTAAGTGTTCTCAGCAGTTATTGAAATGCTGCAATTGAGTTCCGAGTGCTCGAAGCTATTTAATTGTTCTCAGACTCTCAGATCTTGGCTGCACTATATTGTTATCAGTGATGGTCGAAATGTTACGGGATTTCATAGGTGAATCTTGGAATGACTGTAATTGTAAATTTATATAAAATATTAGTTATTGGAAGTTTATAAAGTTAGTATTTTCTATATTTCTTTATTCATTTAGTTGTCTACTTTCAAGAGAAATTGAATTAAAACTCTATCCTATCCTATCCACTTAATGTTAAATGTATTTTATACCTAAATTTCTTCTATAAAAATCTTTTTCGAAATACCTTGTTTTACGTTACCCTCAACCTCCTGGCCATCTCTAGTTCAGTTTAATAAAGATGCAATAGCAGCCGGAGCCTTTACCCGCAGGTGTTGTAATCCAACAACGAGTCCTGGACCGAAGCCAAAGCAGCTTTCCCTCTCAAGTGCTAACTAATTTCGTTGTTGTCCTTACCGCTCCGCTACGTTTGCTGCCCCTCAGGACATCTTCTGCATCCGTTGGCATCCTCGAGCTTAGCCTCATTCCCAGGCTCATCCCCATCCTCATCATCGGCGTTTCCCTGCAGTTTCGTTTTTGGTGTCAGCAACATTTCTTCAATTGGTTTCGTTTGCCGGCCCCATCATGTTGTTGTTCTCTTCGGTCCTCCGTGTCCTTTATAGAGTTTTATGCAATTTTTTTTTGTCCTTTTTGGATTCTAGTTTTTCGTTTTTCGATTTTCTTCGTATTGCAATCCTTTTTTCTTGGCAAACTCTTCTTGTGTGTGGCGCACAGTTGTTGACTCTGTTTCGGGGCCAAAGCCAATTCCTTTTTGGCCCTGGCTAAGTCAGCTCTTGGCTTGTTTCAGCTTTTTATGCACCTAGCCTCGTGTTTCATCCTCCTTTCTCCCTTAGCCAAAAGGCAGCACCCTATCCATATGATCTGGCTTCTGGTCCGCATTTTTATGGCCATCGTCTTAGTTGGCCTTTTTCCCACCTTGCCCAGAAGTTTCTTGCGTATATAGAACATGTCTCATTTGGATCGTAACATTTAACTTAATGCTTATGATGCTTGCTCCAAAAAATAGTTTCATCTTAAGTGAAATAGGAGTTCTTTTTTTGTATATGTGTGGATTGAACTTACCAAAGTTAAATTTAAAATTGGAAATGTTTTTAGCTAAATCAGCTAAATAAGGTTTTGTTTTTAGGTTTAAGATATTAATATTTCTTAAAAATATGTTTATATTTATTTTTTATATTTTTTTTTTTTATAAAATGTAAATATTACTCTATGTCTATGTTCAATGTTGTCGTGTGTTGGCCTCAATATTTGTTTGCTTTTTTATGCATTAATTTTTAATTTATATAAAATATTTAAAAGTGTTTATTATCGCCGCCCACATGTTATCGATAGTTGTTTGCCTGGCGCCCTCTGCCGATAGTGTTTCGATTGTCGACGATCGGGCCGGTTGACAGCTGACTCTTGTCACCACTACTTAAATTCTTCTTCTTTCGTGCAAGTTTTTCGCGTCACAGGCTGCTTTTGTGCTAATATTTTCGTTTCTATCGCGTTGCGTTCGCACTTTGAATGACTACCAACAAATTGACGACGAAATTGTACACTCAAATCCAACAGAGACTCGCCTGTGCGGGCTTTCGGGCTGTCTCGTCGGCCGGCTTTGTGAGTGCTTCCCCCACGCGGCGTTTCAACCAACAGCTGATCTCTGTTTTGCTTTTCAGGTGTCTCACAAAACAAAAACAACAACAAATCGCTGGAGCTCCAATCAGATACGTGCACTTAAAAAAATGTCAAAGTATGTTTCAATTTGGGAATGAAGAAATTTATAATTTAAAGTAGGTCATACCGTGTTTTTTTTTTTTTTTTTTTTTTTTTTTGCAAGAATGAAATTAAGGAAATTTATAATATTTTTATTTTTAATATTTTAATATTAATAATTAATTTTATTTATTTTTTGGTTATAAAGTTCTTTAGGCTGTTTTATATAAAATAACTTATTTTATTTATTTTTTGGTTATAAAGTTCTTTATTATAAATTTGTTTATTGAATAATTAATTAAAAGTATGTAAAATATTATTAATAAAATACTTAGTTAATTTTGTTTGTATATATATTAAATTTTTTCCATATTTTAAATTTTCCTTATTTTTAGTTTTTTGAATTCAGACTAAATTCTCAAAACAAATAATAAATCTATAAATTAATAAGCCTATACACACTTTCAAAACACACGGTATTACACCTACATTTGTTTTTTTCATTCTGGTTAAACAATTTAGTCTAAGTTACATATTAAAAATTACGTTTTTGATTCGAAAACTCATTTCTATCTTTGTCATTTTTTTAAAGTATCGATATGGATAAAGTATACATGCGCAATGCTGCTGAAAGCAAAGAACTAAACATAGTGTTCCGCTATGTAAACGAAACCCTGAAGATAGATCGAGAATTTAATTTCAATCGACAAATGGACGAGCAAATTGAAGGCATTTTGACACGAATTCAAGGCAATGTCCAAAAGCAGATGGAAAAGAAACAAAAAAAGAAGGGCAAAAGCAACGAGCCGGTGGTAGTTGGATCTTCCGAGATAAATGTTAAACTTTATAGCGAAAACCATGACCTAAATTTTAACAACTTAACATTTACCGAACTACTTGATAAAAATATCAGCGGAATAAAGCTGCGAGTGGTCGATGCCACTTTCGATATGGTTTTCAATCCACCCTGGATTTTAAGCCTTAAACTACCGAAATGCATGCTGGCTGGATTTGTGGTTTATCCAACGGCTTGTGAACTTCAATTTGCCGAACGTGAGCACAGCAATGGAACCTGGTTTAAAGCCAAACAATCCCAAACTACCGAATGGGAAGCCTGCGGCGAAGGTTTTCACTATATTCCAACGGCTGAAGATATTGGATACTACTTAAAATTTGTAGTTACTCCAGGAAATGGAAAAGGAGCTAAAGGTCCTGTGGTGGAGGAAATTTCTAAAACTACCGTTCAAGCTGCCCCAGAATTGTTTCCCTTTGAAGGTCGGCATCGCCACACGCCTGATTATTTGATAGCTTCGAATGAACTTCGAGTGGTAACCTACAATCTATTGGCTGACTATTATGCGGATAGTGACTACTCCCGAAAAACGTTATTCCCTTATTGCCCGCCAAAGTATCTGGAAATTGACTACAGAAAACAATTATTTATCAAAGAAATAGTTGGCTATAAGGCTGATCTCATCTGTCTGCAAGAGGTTGATCAAAAGATATTTGATATTGACTTTAAGGAAATACTGGGTGGACCTTCGCTCAATTATCATGGTATCATGGCCCCAAAGGGCACGTGTGCGGAGGGCGTTGCAATTTTCGTTCGTAAATCCCGATTTGAACTTGTGGAATCTCAAGTGTTGCATTTAGGTTCTAAAATACCTAAACTACCCATTTTTGAAAGTCTTTGGAATAAAATCAAGATTAATGAACAATTGGCATCACGTATTTGTGATCGATCAACGACTTTGCAAACATGTTTGCTGAAAATTAAGGATACCAACCGATATATACTTGTGGCCAACACCCATTTATACTTTCACCCCGATGCCGATCATATACGCCTCTTGCAAATGGCTTTTTCCATCACTTATGTTGAGCATCTGCTCAAGGAAGCTGTAAAGGATTTAAAAATCTCAAACCCCCAAGATATTGGACTGATATTTTGTGGAGATTTTAATAGCGTCCCGGAATGTGGTATATACAAATTGATGACTGAACAATTTGTGGATAAAGATTTTGTGGATTGGCGTAGTAATGCCGAGCAAGCAGTTTCGAATGTGGAACTCACTCAGCCCTTTGAAATGGCTTCAGCTTGTGGTACTCCCGAGTTTACAAACTTTACCACCCTGTTTGCGGCATGCTTGGACTATATATTCTATCAAAAGGATCGATTTGAGGTAATGCAATACGTACCATTGCCAACGGAGGAACAGTTAAAGGTCAATAGTGCCATACCCTCGGTAGTCATTCCTTCAGATCACGTTGCTTTAATAGCTGATCTTAGATTTAAGACGGGATCATCCGCTTAAAATAATTCAATTTGTAAACAGTGATTGTACTAAGCATTTTAAATTGATAATTTAAAAACGTCAAATGTATTTAAAAAAAATAATTTAACTCGGCTTTAATAACCAGTGTCGAAAAGCACAAAAATATCGCTTTTAGAGTCTATTTTTTATGATTTTGAATATGTTTAAATATAAATAAAATACATTTTATAAAATTTATAATCCAATAGACTTAATATTATACTTTGTATAACATGTTTTATAAAATAAAATATTCTCAAATAATTAGTAAAGCATTTATTTTCAAATTTCAGCGATTTTTTTTACTTTGAGGAATTTTCTTTTCTTTTTATACCCTTGCAGGGTATTATAATTTCAGTCAGAAGTTTGCAACGCAGTGAAGGAGACCTTTCCGACCCTATAAAGTGTATATATTCTTGATCAGCATCAACAGCCGAGTCGATCTAGCCATGTCCGTCTGTCCGTCTGTCCGTCCGTCTGTCCGTCTGTCCGTCCGTCTGTCCGTCTGTCCGTTTCTACGCAAACTAGTCTCTCAGTTTTAAAGCTATCTGAATAAAACTTTGCATATAGTCTTCTATATAATCTCACTGCTGTATATGTCGGAACGGGCCGGATCGGACGACTATATCATATAGCTCCCATACAAATGATCGATAAATTTTTAGAAAAAAATTATAACTTGGCTGTTTTTTAACATTTTTGCACCATTTTTTAGATATGGCCATTTTATATTATTTCAGAATTTCGGTAAAAATTTCATGAAAATCGGACAGCTATATCATATAGCTGCCATAGGAACGATCGGGAAATTAATAGAAAAAACATTATAACTTCGTTGTTTTTCAACCTATTTTTATCTACTCTGAGATATAAGCTTATTTTATTAGTTCAGAATTTTGGTATAAATTTTATGAAAATCGGACAACTATATCATATAGCTGCCATATAAACCGATCGGTAGATGTAGAGAAAATGTAAAACTGGGAATGTAAAACTGTAACTGTCAAACTCTAAACAATAAGTATAGGTAAAATTTAATGAAATAATATCTGCAAGGGTATACAAACTTCGGCGTGCCGAAGTTAGCTTCCTTTCTTGTTTTTTTTATCCTTTCCACATAAATAATCGTTTAAATTGAAACGAATAAAAACCCCCGAAATGAGTTGGGGGAAAAACAAGCTCTAGTAAATTACAGAATTGGGGTGGGCGGCGACAACAAATTGGGTAAATCCCTGAGTGGCTTAGCTCGCTTTCCAGCTTTTCCTATAGCTTCTGCTTCTGTTTTCTGGCTGATTGCAGAACGCAGAGCAATTAACGTGAAAATTCGCCAAGGAAAAACCTGGCAAACACGCCCACCCACACACAAACATAAAAAAAGCTTAAAAGAAATCGGAGAGAGGAAGGGAAAAAAATATCCCAAGCCAACTGAAGTGATTTTCGCACTAATTAACTGCACTTAGTTGACACATACCAATCTATTCAGACCGACACACTACCCAACAGCAGTAACAACAATAATAATAACAACAACAACAACAGCAACAACATCGTTGTCGTTGGCATAATCAGAGCCAGTGCAGCATTTTAATTGCTTTCCATTTCCACAGTGCCTGCCAATATAAAGTCCCACATGTGCAATCGGAATTTTCCAGAGAAATTATTAAAAACTAAATGCCATGTGTGGTTAGAATGGTGGTCAATGTAATAGTTGTTTTTATATATTTAAATTTATTCTATCATATAATATAAATTTTACTTTTTAATATATATTTATTTTATTTTTTTAAGGAGTAATTACTTATTTCTAGGCTCTAGAAATGTTCTTTTATGATTTAAGAACTGATTCCAATGTAGAATAGCAATTTTAAAGGCTTTATATGTTAGAATTTTTAATAAAAATATATATATTTTTTTTTGTATTTTAAATATATTTTAAAAATGTCTTTAGAAAGCTAAATGTAAACATACTTCCATTACCTTAAAAATTATCTGTTCTATTATTATTTATTCAGTATATGTTATTTGCTATTTTTTTTAAAGACTTGTTTAATTTTCTCAAATATTTTCAAGCATTCTATAAGTATTTGTAAACATTCAAAATTTTTAATATTTTAAAAAACTAAACTATTAATTTACCTATTACTGTTCCTATTCACTTGGTGTTGTATGAGCCCCGCAACTCTATAATTACGTGGGGCTGTGTTGACAACCAACTCTTTGCTGTAAGGGAAATGAAAAAGGAGCAAAAAGGAAGCAGCCTGGCATTCAATTCTCAGTTTGATTTTGCCTTAGCTCCTTATTTTCCTCTTCATATGAAGCACATTGTTATTTGACATCAAAGTGAATTCGCATGATTTAGTTTTGATTTTTTTTTTATGATTTTAATTAGCATGAGGTTGTTAGGTAGTAAAATAATAATAATAAAAAATAGTTAAATATTTAATTTGATCATATTTAGCTTATATTTTAATTTATTTTCTCCTCTTAAATATTCTTAAATATGCCGACTCAATTGGTTTTACTTTGTTAAGCCATATTTATGCACAAAAAGTAATCTCAAATTTATACGTAAAAATACATATTTATATGGGACTTATTAAGCTCTACGACTTCATAAAAAAATCGTAGAAAATGACCTCTCCCACCAAGGGTCAGAAGGCAGGACATTTTATTTACTTTGTTGATTAAGCTAAAATAGCAAGGAGAGAGAGAGAGCATAAAGGCAGGGGAAAGAGAGATCATCCAAGTGGCAAAGTTACGAGGCAACTGCCAAGGACAAAGCCAGTCGTTCACAAAAAAAAAAAAAACTCCCAAAAAATAGGCAAAAAATGTGGAAAAAGCAAACGGAAGCATACGGAAATGCCAGGAGCGTGGATTACATTAACGCAGTATTTTCATAGACGTGGGTGTAAGACGAGGGGGGGTGTACGGATGAGGAGGAGCTGGAGCTGTGGGTGAGACTTGGCAAATTAAACGCCCACTTAATCTCGGCCGGGTCAACTTGTGACACGAAACTCATTTGGTGGGCAAGGTGCCCAGGAATGCTGAATGGACAAATATGCAACAGTGGTTTAATTTTAAGTTTACATATTTGAATTATATTTCCCCAAATTTAGGGTTTACTTTAATTTATAAGTCTTAAGTTCTACATTAAATTCAATACATTTTCCAATTGTAAAATATTAAATAAAATAAAAACTACAATGGGAAAATATTTAAAGGGACCTTTGGACTTTATGTTTGGCTTTAAAATGTTTTCAAAATATTTGTAGAAATGATTTGAATCGCTAATTCCTCATTCTTATATTTAATAATTTTCTCTTATGCAAGCAAATTTGACTCAAGTTTTGTTAGTAAAATCCACCGTTGAGTAAAGTTTTTATAGGGTGTTGTTGCCGAGTGAGAAGAAGGGCAGGAGCATGATGGCTATCGCATTTGGCAAGTTCAGGGACATTGCCGTGGGACAGTGTCAAGATCAAGTCTGCATCTCCTCCATCTATTCACTTCGCCCTCTCAGAGGTCTAGTCGGTTTCAATTAATTTCACGGCAAAGGGCGACTGGCTGGTGAAGAAACTAAAGAAAAACTGTTTTCCAGGCACTTTTGTGTCAAAAAGTTGTCGTCGTCGTCGTAGTCGCGACATTTCTACTGTGTCTCGTCTGAGATTCCCTTTTCCCCAGGTTCCTCTTCTGATTCCTATACCATGGAATGTTGTTTTACTTTTTTTTCCTTCTTCGTTTCTCGAGTGCAGGAAATGCGTACTTCCTGTTTGTTGTCTCAGCAAGCTTTGGCATATTTGCGTGCTTCCCCTCCTCAGTCTCCGTCGGTCGCCTTTTCTCCCTCTGCATTTTTTCTCCCGTTTCTGTCTGTGTGTGAGTTTGAGGGACAATGAATGCACTTGGTCCTGTCCGTGATTCTTTGCTTCCTTGGACTTCGTTGGGGGTCGCCCCATAAACTTTTGCGTCCTACTGGCGCATAATTTTACATGTCGTTTTGTTGCTTCCTTAAGATACCTTGGACTTTTCGAAAGAAAAAGGTATATTGTGCCATAAAATATACCTAATATTTTGTATATTTTCTGAAATTATTTTTTATTATATCAAAGCGAACTTTGACTGCAAAAATCTAGCTAAAAAGTTAAATGGGTTGCTTTTTTTATGATAAAAATACTGCGCCGCCGAAAAGTATGCCATCTTTATCGAAAACAAAGCTTACTGGGTATTCTATGGTGGTGACACTTAATACTTTTTTTTACTTTTATACTTTATAAAGTTTAATTAAATTAAAATTGTTAAGATACATTTTAAATACCCGATATTCTATAGTCTTACATATACATATATTTTTTTTCCAAAACCTTACTTCTTTTCTTTGCTGCATGGGGCAGGAAATGTCTGGGCTCAATTCACTGCCCTTTCCGTTGGTTTTGTTAAAATCTTGCTAGCATTTATCTGTTTTGTGCATGTAGTATGTGGGGGCGGCGGGTTCATCCTTTTGCATCCCCTGGCTCATCCTGTTTCCCTTGCCGGCCCTGAAGGACATTCATCCTCTTTTTGTTCGGCCCACATGGAGTGCCTTGATATATTTTTTTTAAAAGGCCTTCTCTCTTGTGCTACCATTTTTCCTGCAGCGGCATCAGCTTATTGAAATGGATAGATTGGGAGGAAGTCGAAAAGGTCTGTAGGTCTCTTTTGCAACTCACTTCCTTTTTGTCGCATTTTAAAAAGTCACTGGAGTCGGTGATTTGCTGCTTCTTGTTTTTTTTTTCTCGTAGAAAATTATTAATTATAGAAAAAATTGGTGGTAAAAAAATCAATTTTATATAGAAAAAATTAAGGCATTAATACAAAAAGTAAGTAGTAGAAGTCTATCACTAAGATGGAGATGTGTAGATGTCACCGGTCGGTCGGTCACGTGAATGAAACCCCAGACTCCTGAGCTTAGTTTGTGTGTTCATTGAAGTTGTCCATTGAAGTCTCTTAGGAGGGTGGATATTCTCCTCTCTCTCTGTGTGTGTGCGTGTTTCAGTCCTTATTCATGGACATGCATATGGGAAGAGCAGTGCTCGCACTGCTACCTTTTCTCCCTACCCAAGTAAAGGCTACTCCTGAGGGTAGTAGTTACATCATAGAGACAACGACACATTTTGGA